AGGGTCCTTGATGGTCTCAGAGCTTGGTGGTTTTCTTGCAGACATTTTGTGACCCATCTAAGTAACAACATCAGTGCTAGAAGGGAGTGGGGTTTGCTCTGTTTTTATAGAAGTGGCTTGGCCTTTCTTTTGGTGGGAATGTTCTTGGTATTTCCTCAATTAGGCTATGGTTTACTGCTTGAAATAGTAAAGCCCACTGCCTTCTAACACTGATGATGTTACCTAGTATAGGTAATGAAACATCTGCAAGAAAACAGCCAAGCTCAGAGAGCGCTAAGAGAGAGCATCTCATGTTGTAACTATGGATGGTTGCTAAAAAAAATGATTGTAAGTCAGTGGTGGGATTAATTTTTTTTTTACTACCGATTCTGTGGGTGTGGCTTGGTGGGCATAGTTAGATGGGTGTGGCCATGTGACTGGATGGGTGTGGCTTTTGTTTTGTTTTGCAGTTACCCGCCCCCCACACACCCGTTTTTTGGGACCTTCCTGGCCTCAGAGGAGCCTCTAAGGGGGGATGTTTTTGCTCCCAGAAGGCCCCTCTGGGGCTCAGGAAGGCAAAAAATGGAAGGGGGAGCTCCCCCCTCCATTTTTTGCCTTCCTGGACCTCAGCAAGGCGAATCCCGGCACAGCTGATCGTATGATTGTCGGGAGGGGGGAAAAAAAAGAGGGGTGAGCGTCAGGCAGGCGGGGTGAGTGAGCATCAGGCGGGGCAACCAGGTCAGGGGCGTGGCCAGCCAGAACTTACTACCGGTTCAGCAACCCACGCCAAATCCTTGCTACCAGTTCAGTTGAACCAGTGCAAACCGGCTGAATACCACCCACAGTGGTAAGTCAAGGATTACCTGCACCCCTAAGGAGGTCTGTTGTAATCCTGAATGGTCGCTTAAACAACCAGCTATAAGTCGAGGACTCCATGTACAATGGGGTCATCATTTCAGAGAGCAATTCTGAACCAACCCTTCTCGGAGGTACCAAAGATTAAGCAGACAATCCTTGTCTTCATTTTATCTTTGTCTTCCCCTGCCCCCAAATCTGTTGGCGCAAGCAGCGCGACCCACCTTGATGGAGACTTTGTGCTTGGTGAACGAACGGCTCCTGAGAAGCTGGTAAATGCAATGGATGGGCAGGAAGCCCGTGATGTTGGCGCTCAAGTTGCTCGTCACGGCCACCCGCACCGCGTGAGCGGTCACCACCTAGGAGAAAGAAAGGCGTTAAGCGCCCGCCAGATGAGAGAGCCGCATCCTCCCAAAGACTGCTCTGCGCTGTGTTCTGTTGCTTTGCCTGTATGCTGGGAACTTCTGCACCAAATTCCTTGTGTTGGCCAGATAAAAGTATTCAATCCCATTCCTGCTGACTGGAAGGAGACAGATCTGTGGAAATGACTGGACACTGCGATGTAGAATAGAATAGAAAATAAGAATAGAAAACAGGAAACAGAAGCTGGAAGGGACCTTGGAGATCTTCTGGAATAGAATAAAATATAGAATAGGGCCATGATGGCGAACCTATGCCATGCGTGAAAACCTATGGCATGCAGACCCATTTGTGCTGGCGTGCGAGGCCGCAGGCAAACTTACCTCATTGCGCATGTGTGCGCCTCACAGCTGATTTTTTTTCAGTTGGTTTGAGGCGTTTTTTGGCCTCCCAGAGGCTTGGAAAAAAGGCTCTGCAAGGCTTTTCAGGCCGAATTATAGACCCCTTTTGTCACTTCCTAGAAGACCGGAAGTGACAAAACGGGCCTATAATTCGTCCTGAAAAGCCTTCCAGAGGCTTTTTTCCAAGCCTCTGGGAGGCCAAAAAAGGCTTCAAATCAGCTGAAAAATCAGCTGTGAGGCGCAGTGCAGGTAAGGAGGTGGCGGGAGGGGGGAATTGCACACGCATGCGCAGAGGGTGTGGGGAGGGGCATACACGTTGCATTCTGGGTGCTGGCCGTATTGCTAACTGGCCAAATACAGGTAGTCCTTATGACCACAATTGAGCCCAAAACTTCTGTTGTTAAGTGAGACATCTGTTAAGTGACCTTTTTTGCCTCAGTTGGTTAAGTGAATCACCGCATTAGGTATGTTAGTAGCCCGGTTGTTAAGCGAATCTGGCTTCACCATTGATTTTGCTTGTCAGAATGTCGTAAAACATGACCTTGGGACACAGCGACGGTCATAAATATGAACCGGTTGCCAAGCATCTGAATTTTGATCCCATGATCATGGGGAGGTGGTAAAGGTCATAGCTTTTTTCAGTGTCGTTGGAACTTTGTCACTAAACAAACTGTTGTAAGTCGAGGACTACCCGTATTGTAAGATGTGTGCAGATTTCTACGCGAAGCAAACCTGGAAATCAGTCAAATCTTTATTCAGTCCTAGACCAGCAGAGCAAGGTAAAAATATATAACCAAATAAAGTGTTCCTGTTTTTGGTGGTATTTTTTTAAAAAAAACAAGGGGAACTTCCATCCTGAATTAAGCGAAAAGGATCCGATGAACAGATATTTTACCTGTTCAGTGAAAATCTCCTGGGTGAAGATGGTTTTCATGCGACTCAGAGAACTGGGTTTGATGATGATCTGGAATCAAGGAACACCAATCTTGTCAGGATGGGGTTTTCACTACAGCGCATGTTCCCCACAAATAGCCCTCAACTTACGACTGGAAGGGAGCCTACCACGTGACCAACCCAATTTTACGACCTTTCCTGCAGTAGAAGAGGGGGTAGTTCCTTGTGGCTGGCAGGCAGGTGCAGGCAAGCCTCCATTTGTGTGAGTGGCAGGCACAGGCGCACCGCTCGCACCAAGGGAGTTTCGTGGGCTAACACAAGGGGTCACCGCTCGCGCAAGGGAAGCTTTGTCTCAGCGCTCCAGCAAACCTCCACTCCAGCCCATAACTCCGAGACAGACATCTCAAAAGTTTATTTGGATGGTAACTGGCACAACTGGGGAATCCCAAAGTTCTGGGCTTCCTTGCAATAAGTAAAAACTATAAAATCCATCCCCTGCACCCATCACCCCATCACATGGCCCAATCACCCATCTGTCTCAACTTAAGACTTCCTCTCACTTATGCGCGAAATCACATGACCTTGACTTAGAAAAAGAATGTTGTTATGTCTAACTTACATACACTCCAAGAAATTCCCCCCTTCCACTTTCCCAGGCTTAAATGTGGCAGCGTGGGAGCATCTGGTCTCAATATGGCTTCCAAAGCTGACACTTTGTGTGTGAGAAAAGACAGCGCCACTTGCATGAACTTCATGTACATGCGCACAATCGCCCACCGCCCTCACAGCATGGTCCCAAGCAGGCCATGTCCCAGTAGTGGACCAATGACCTGGGGGTTGGGAACTCCTGTTCTAGTCCAACCGCCCTAACTGAAGCAGGAAGCCCCTATCCCAGCATAGCTGGCTGAGGAATTCTGGGAATTGAAGTCGACAAGTCTTAAAGTTGCCAAGTTTGAGGACCCCTGCCCTATACCATTTCAGACAAATGGCTGTCCAATCTCTTCTTAAAAATCTGCAGTGTTGGGAGTACCCACAACTTCTGGAGGCTACTAATTAACTGTTAGGAAATTTCTCCTTACTTTTTTCTCCTTGGTATCAACTCATAAAACATTCCTGTGCCTGTTTTAGTAGTTGCCATGAAAAAGGGGGGAAAGCGAAAGTACATTCCAACTCTTATCTTTAAAAGTATGTAACTAAAATACCAGAGTTTTTGCCCGTGAATATATTCAATTGGAGAACGTGAATGATGACACCCAGCCTGTGAACGGGCTCAATTGGAGAATCCGATTTACGACACACCCAGAGGGGAGGGGGGGAAACAGGGTCACAGGGGACTGTAAATGACGTAGGCCAGAGTTGGCTTCATACAGGGCAATGCCAGCATGTCGCCTCTAATAAATCCTTTGAAGTTTATTGAAGTTTGGCTCGAGAATCATAATTTCATTAGGGCGATTGCTGGAATCCTGACACTTGGTTAGTTTCCACCCGTTGCTTCTTGTCCTGCTTCAGGTGCTTTGGAGAACAGCTTCACTCCCTCTTCTTTGTGGCAGCCCCTCAAATATTGGAAGATGCTATCATGTCACCCCTCAGTCCTTCCTTTCATTAAATTAGACATACCCAATTCCTGAAACCGTTTATTGTATGTTTTAGCCTCCAGTCTTCTGGTGATTGGCTCAAAGTCACTCCAGCTGGCTTTCAAGCCTAAAATGGGACTAGACCTCACCATCTCCTGCTTCCTAGCTGGTGCTTTCCCCACTAGACCAAACTGACTCTTTGGATTAACTCTGGCATTTCACAGGTCGTACAGGCGGCTTTAGGGAACGCCTGCAGCTCCAGGCCCCGCAGTGGGAGTAGACCACTTACCTTCATTCCCAAAGTAGAGCACACCAATTCGATGATAGCACTGAGCTGGTTGCTATGGAAATACATGGCGACCAATAATAGCATCTCACCAAAGGAAGCTGAAACTCCAGAAGTGCTGTCAGAAAAGGAAGGTGGGGAAGAGAAGAGGAAAAGTTTTCATTATAAGAGTATTTTACAGAATCGGAATCGAGCCGGAAGGGACCTTGGAGGTCTTCTAGTCCATCCCTCTGCTCTAGCAGGAGACCCTATACCACTTCAGACAATCAACTGTCCAGTCTCTTCTTAAAAGCCTCCAGGGATGGAAAACGCATTACTTCTGAAGGCAAGCTGCTCCACTGGTGAACTGTCCTCACTGTTAGGAAGTTTCTCCTGAATTCCTTGAATAGTTTCCATCCATTGTTCCTTGTCTTGCCTTAGTTGCTTTGGAAAATAATTTGAAATGCTGCTATCATGTTCCCCCTAGTCCTTCTTTTCTTTAGACTGGCCAAACCCAAATCCTGCAAATGTTCTTCATATGTTTTAGCCTCCGGCCTCCTTTAATTTTCTTAGTTGCTGTTCTTCCCTCTTTTTCCAAAGTCTCAACATCTTTTTTGTAATGTGGGGACTATAACTGGATGCAATACTCCAGGTGTGCTCTTACTAAGGCTTTATAAAGTGTTGTCTAATACTTTACACAATATTACAGAGTACACTGTATTTTGGCAAGGGCAGGAAAAAAGTCTCTCACCTTTCAAAATAAGCTTCTTCCTTGATCATCCAGCTCAACCACATCACCATCAGCTGTTCCTGTTCTGGGGTGCTAAAGAGATAATTGTGTTAGAATGGGAAGTCGGACAGAATAACAAGTCTATGTGCTATTGCTACCTGTAACAAGGTATTGTGCCCCTGTCGGAATTTGATTCGGAGGGGGAGGCCAAGCAGCTGATAGGGAATGGGAGTGTGGCTCCGTTGGATGTGGAAGAAACTGGGGAAGGGCACAGTCTGGCTGAGCAGGGGAGAGGTAGAGCAAGGGAGGGAATTCAGAGGAAGATCTAGGCCCACCCCCTCTTCATCCTAGGGCATGCAGGGAGGAACGGAGAAGGGAGTAACGTGAGTTGCATGGCTTACGGGGAAGGAAAGGGCCCTGATTCCCTTCATTAGCTGCAGTTGGGAACACAGTGTTTAAAAAGGGAAGCTGCGCACAGCAACTTGTTGAGAGCAAATCGTGAATTATCTGGTACTGTCGAGACTTATCTGGGTTCCTGGCATCTTCCCAACTGTGTGTGTTTTGCTGTGCTTTCAAGTCTGCAATTCCTTCTCCTGCCCTGTCAAGTTAATTACTGCAGCGTGGTTTGTGTGGATATTTATTTACAGTTTATATGTACTTTGCTTTCGGACTGAATTCCCTCCACTTAAAGACGGTTCTTGGGAGTTATGTTCTCTAGCCGAAGGTAACCTGGACATTGGAGGCAAAGTTGGTGGTACTAAAGGGACTCTTCTTCTTTTATGTGACTGTGTTGCCTTTGTGCCACGCCCCTTTGGGTCATCACACCAGGCCATAAATGGGGGCAAACCTCACTTAATAGCCATCTTGGTTAGCAACAGAAATTGGGAGCACAATTGTGACTGTAAGTCGAGGACTACTGTAGCAGATTATTCTGCTGGTGTGGAAATGCGGACCTCAAATGGGAGTCTGGGGAAAATAAGTCACTGTCCTACTCCCATTTCCCTGTTAGCAAATGAATAAACATTAAAAAAAAAGCCAGCCTTCAAACTTAAAAGGGATCCCGCTCTGGATTTAAAGTTCAGGATGAGGCCACTCCTCCCCTGCCACGAAATGAATGGCTCTCTCTCTCTTTCCCCTTTCTTCAGGGGATACTCTGGTTACTCAAAGGGTACCTGACCAGCGTGGAGAAAGCAAGCAGCATGCAGAAAGAGAGCGACACAAAGCGGACTCCCGCCGGAGTGGCTGGTGGGCGGCTGGTCATGAGCTGAAGTAGCTGTTCTGCTTCTTCGTCCGTCGGTCTACGGGATGACACAAAGATGGGATCAGGTGCATCCTATGGGCAGGGCATATTTTCCCTGGGGTCGTTTGCAAAACAGGTCTTCTAAACCAGGGGCGGCTGACCTTCTTAAAACATGTTGGTTGGGGAAGTCTGGGAGTTGAAGCCCACCCCTCTTCAAGCATGCAGGCTGGGGAGTTCTGGGAACTGAATTCCACCCCTCTTCAAGCATACAGGCGGGGGGATTCTGGAAGTGGAAGTCCACCCTTCTTAAAGCATGCTGACTTTAAAAAAAAATTGGGAACTGAAATCCACCCATTTTAAGGTTAAGAAACTGATGGGGGAAATGGGATCACATTAAGCTACTGATCTTTCCTTGTAAGAACTTTCCCACCACACATGTTGGACCTCAGCTGCTACCATCCCATGAACGGCCACGAAAGGCACCTCTGAGACCCCACCCGCAAACATGACCATCGTAGGATGACGAAGTCCACAAGAAGACAGTCAAGGCCTGCTCACTTTAAGCCGGCGATGCCCATCAGAGCACAGTAGAGGCGCAGGAGGGCGCTGGCCTTGACAACATGTTCCTCCTTCAGCCCAGAATAGACCGAGATGTTAGGTTCCATGTCTGGCTCGGCCTCCTCGGGGATGTGCAAACTGCGGACGGTAGGCAGGATCTCCATTAGTTCAAGCAGCAGCTGCCTCCTCATCTGCCAAAGGACAGAGCTGATGCTCTCCCGTTTGCACTGCACAAGAGAAAGAAAACATGGCTTCCTTTAACTCCGATCTGCTGAGCAAACCCCGAATGAGGGTTTAGCGCCACACAGGAACACCACCAGAGAGCAACTGTATCAGCCTTGGAAGTCTTTTTTTTTTTCTTGAAAGCTTTGAGGCCACCACATTCAGTGCCTGGGAATTTGGGAGGGAGCATTTCATAGTGGGGTAGAAGACTATACACAACAACATTTTTTCTCAGAGTCAAGGACAAGTTTCCCTGTACCTGGAAGGGAGTGGCTGGGGGATGTCTCCAGTTGGGACGAAGATTTGATTGAGCCATGTGATGGACTGGTGGGTGCGAGGGATGGATCTTTGATTTCTCTTTTGGGAAGGGAAAAACCCGGAACTCTCAGATTCGGGTTTTCCCAGATGTGCCAATATGACAACTCTAATAAAGTGGAACTTTGAGGAATCATTTGTCTCGGAGTTTACTGGGTTGGAGTTGTTTAGTTGGAACACTGACAACCTGAGCTTTCAAAGTAACAAAGATTAGAGATCCAACCTAGAACGAAGGAGACATATCCTGACACTGAGAACAACGAATCAGTGAAACAGCTTATCTCCAGAAGTTGTGATGCTCCTTCAGTGGAAGCTTTTAAGAAGAAAACTGATATGTCTCTGAAATGGTATAGACCAGGGGTCCGCAACCTTGGCGACTTTAAGCCTGGCAGACTTCAATTCCCAGAATTCCCCAACTAGTTTTGCTTGGACTAAGAAGATCTCCAAGGTCCTTTCCAACTCTGTTATTCTAACCCTAACCCTAACTCATTCTTAATTGGTTCCGGGATGAGTACCAAAAACGATGCGTTATCGAACAAACTTTTCCCATAAGGAATAATGTAGTGAGTCACAAGGCAGCCAACATCGACAAATTCTAGCTTGCGCGTCGAGTACCAAACAAAAGATGAGTGTCGGGACAAAATTTCCGCATCAAAATGGGTTGAGGGCCAAATTCAATGGGTTTCAAAGCCATCGAGTACCAAGGTACCACTGTATTCTGTTATTCAGTATAATTAAAAGTGGCTTTATATATTTATTCATTGTTTTAAGCTTTGTCGAATATTGCTTGGATTGGGCAGATTGAAATTAACTGTGTCAAACGGCAACCTTTTGCCGCTATTCTTTTTCTAAAGGGTTAAAAAGCCCAGCGTTAGCATAAAACCTCATGCTATTACCGGTGATGTGGCCTTTAAAAGGCAAGGCGCACTTCCCACCGGTTTTACAGGTAGGCCTCAACTTACGACAACTGAGAGCAGAATTTGCATTGCTAAGCAAGGCGGCTGTTAAGTAAATATATATGATTTTATGTTCTTTCTCCTTCCGTCCTGGTCACTTTTTTACAGAGGCACAATTGAGAGCATTTTAACAAGCTGCACCCATTTGGTTTGGTGGCAGCAGTGCCTCAGATAGAAAGTCCATTGAGAGAATGGTAAGGACAGTGGAGAAGATTATAGGGAACGTGCTTCCCATTATTCAGAATACTGCTTATAAGCGCAATATGCTTAGAGCCTGAAGCATTGTTGACACACCCACACACCCACTTTACTGTCTGTTTCTGTTGCTCCTCTCTGGGAGGAGGTTTCCAAGTATTTCAGGACTACCAGATTCTGTAACAGTTTTGTTTCCTAGGCCTTCCATCTGGTGAACTGGCAAGATTTTTCTCATCATGTCCATGTATACATCTGAACTAGACTGTGTTGTTTCTCTGTATTAATAATATATATGGGTAATAATATATGTGGGTATATGTATATTTTGGTCATGTTTATTTAGTGTACATTGGAGGCAATGATGCTTTGAGAGCTTTATGCGATGAGTGTGCTGATTAAAGGTAAAGGTTTCCCTCGCACATATGTGCTAGTCGTTTCCGGCTCTGGGGGGCGGTGCTCATCTCCGTTACAAAGCCCAAGAGCCAGCGCTGTCCAAAGACGTCTCTGTGGTCATGCGGACGGCATGACTAAACGCCGAAGGTGCATGGAATGTTGCTACCTTCTCACTGAAGTGGTCCCTATTTTTCTATTTGCGTTTTTTCACATGCTTTCCAACTGCTAGGTTGGCAGAAGCTGGGACAAGTAACCGGAGTTCACTCCATTACACGGCACTAGGGGTTCGAACCGCCAAATGGCTGGCCTTTCTGATCGACAAGCTCAGCATCTTAGCCACTGAGCCACCGCGTCCCTATTGCTGATTCCCTCCATCAAGCACAGAAGTTCTCACCTGTTGACCGTTCCGGATAAAAGTTCCAAACCACGTCCGAACTTTGGCGTTCGTTCCAAGCAACAAGCCACTCACAAAACACACCAGGTCACTGACACCATCCTCCGAAAACTCATTCTTGGTGTGATCCAGAGTCAAAGCCACACCAAGTCCTGGTAAGTGACATTCCTCCACCTGAGCACACAAGAAACATCTTAAAATTTGGCTCCAAACTCAACTGAGTTTACACATCACCCTGAACCAAATGGCGATTTCACAAAACTTAGTTTTATGAGGCAACAAAAACCAAAAGATTGTGCACAGAGAGATTAGATTGCCTACAGATTGACACTTGGGACTTTTTTCTTTCCCACTCCTTACAGAGAGTTTGAAGAAGAAGGGACTATAAGAGAGTTAGCAGGCAGGCAATGGAGAATACAGTGGGCTGTTTGCCTAATGAGCTTGCTGTTGCTGGCACCAGTGTTTCGATTTTATATGTACTCTCTATTGTGTACCTGCTTATTTTCTTGTAATCTCTTCCTTTCCGGTATCTCTGCTTTGTGTGTGGGGGAGAAAAGAAAAAAACGGGCACAGGACAACACATGCTGACCATAACGGCGATCTTATAACTAAGGAAACATTGTGAAAGTCATAAACGTGGTTGCTGCAAGGCCTTTTTTTTTAAATCGTAATTTCATTAAGTATTATAATTGCAATAGTTAAAAACACAAAACTAAAAGAAAGAGAGAAGAATAAAGGACAGACAGTGCAGAAGAGTGAAAAAAGGAAAAACAATGAGTAATGGAAAAAAAGGGAAGAATATAATAATAATAAAAAAGAAATAAAGTGACCTTGGTACTCTCTGAGCTTGGCTGTTTTCTTGCAGGCGTTTCATTACCAAACTAGGTAACGTCATCGGTGCTGTTTAGAAAGTAGGGTTTGGTCTCATTTTATATATACCAGTGGCTTGCACTGTCAATGTTGGTGGGAATGTTCTTGGGGGTGTTTCTTGATTGACTGTTAGCTTGTTTGTCTGAATTGGTAGTTAGTTGATTGAGGTATTGTTTTTGCTTCAAAATTGTTGGTCTAGTGTTAATCCTGCCGTTAATCTCTGTTCATCTGGGTGTTGATAGCTGGTGAGGTGCTTACGTGTTTTTAGTTCATTTTTTGGCTTTTTGATTGTCTCTTTTGGATGCTATGTACATGTTGATAATGACATCCTCTAGTTTGGTAGTGAAACGTCTTCAAGAAAGTCACTGTCAGCCTTCAAGATTTCTTTGCTTTCCATCTTTCAACTGCCATAGTAATGGGGGGGAGGAGGGGGTGACATAATCGTAGGAAGTAAGCTAGAGGCTTTGAGAATAAACTGTATAAGTTGTGGCGGGGGGGGAAGTTTCTTGTTTATGCTTCTTCGCTGTGCTATGCGCAAGCGCAACTCTTTATCAAAATAGGCCAAGGTCAAGGGACAGAGGTCTGCATCACCACCTGAAGATGCCCCACAGGACGTTATATACAACTTTAACTGGATGGAGAGTTTGAACTGTTGTGGGTGGGAACGTTGCCATCATTTTGTATATGTGATTTTCACGATCAGTTCCTCAGGTTCGGAATTCCTTTGATGCTACCACTTGATTTCCAGTAAAAGATATCTTTTCTCTAGTTAAAGGAGTCTAAGGGTTTCTTTCTTGGATTTTGAATGGAGCATCCGCCACCTGACAGTCGCCAAGCTCCGAGAACACCAAGGACCTCACAGTTCAACCCTGACCTACAAACATTATCTTTTACCAGGAGAAAAATGTAAATAAGTTACTTCCCGTGTTCATCACAAGAAGCTGCAAAAGGACTTACCACCATGCCACGGACCCTCAGAGCCTGGGAAGGGTTCATTTTGCAAAGGTGACGCAGAGCATCGGTCCTGCGACGGCCTCCAAAGCTCTCTTCATCTTGCCTCTCACCGTTCTTAATCAAGCCCCTACATACTGGAATCCACCAATTAAATTAAAAAAAAAAAGTTTTCAACTCAGTCCACCTTCAGGTTGCAAAAACAGTGGTGGGAGGAACAGAGTGTCTTGATCCCAACTAACGAACCCGAGCAAATCAGAACTCCAAGGCTAAGGTCTTCCTCTAAGAACTTATTGGGTATATTATATCAGCACGATCAAATGGAAAAACCAACTCTACATTTAATTTCCCGTGGCTTCAGTGTAATTAAAAGAGGAAATAACTCCCTTCCCAAAAGTCACAGGTCACTTTGGCCAATAAGGTTAATTGGCGGGCTCGCCAGACACTCCTCCCCGTCTCCATCTGCCACCTGTAGAGGTGTCCTTGGTTCCCCCAAGAAAGTCCTGTGTTTTGTCTAGCAACGTATTTCATCCTCTTTCCCACTCCCCGCTCTGTGTGACAACTGATGAATAGGAAAAGAGGCTTCTTCTTCGATTCAAAGGTGACCCAGAGCACATGTGAGATTGCCAGCCACCTATGCTGACCTAAAAGTCCAAGTTTATCCAAGATTCGGAAAACAATTTAGGGCAACCAGGAGGGACAGAATTGTCGAGCTGCCCCACGTTCTCATTCCAAAGTAAGTTAACAATTTTCTGGAATTATTGATGAAGTGAATTGCATTCTTCCTTTCCTCCTGTCTTTTGAAACATACACAGGGAGTCCTCGACTTACAAGAGTTCATTTAGTGACCATTCAAAGTTACAATGGCACCGAGACATGTGATTTATGACCGTTTTTCATTGTTAGGACCTTTGCAGCATTTCCACGGATCACTTGATCAAAATTCATACGCTTTGCGGCTGCTTCATATTTATGACTTTGCTGTGTCCCACGATCACGTGATCCCCTTTTGTGACCTTCTGACCAGAAAAGTCATTGAGGAAGCCAGATTCACTTAACAACCAGGTTATTAACCTATCAACTGCAAACATTCACTGAACAACTGTGGAAAGGAAAGGTCATAAAATGGGGCAAAACACATGTCATGTAGCCAAAACAAAAAAGTTTTCCCCTCCACCCCACCAATCACTGGTCACGCTGTCCAATCCAGGTGCTGGCTGGTTGCTGGGTTACCAGCTCCTCCTTTGGCCAGTCACCTGTGAGAATGTCCTTGGTTCCTTTATTGTTTTGGCTACAAAACCCCATCTAACTATTACACACACACACACACAAACACAGAGCTTTGTGGCAACCCTGAAGTCTCCAAGATGGCTTCAGCCAGGCTCACTTCAGGGTTGACAACTCACTTAACAAATGTGTCACTTAACAACAGAAAATTTGGGCTTGATGGTGGCCGTAAGTCGAGAACTAGCTGTATAGTGTTTTTCATCCAATTTACAGTCCATACACAGCATTCAAGACGTAAATTGAATGCAATAAGTATGCAGTGTTGTTCATTTAACTTACAGTCCACACACAACATTCAAGATGTAAATGGAATGCAATAAGTATGCTCTGTTCCTACTCAGCTGTATGGCTACTTTTCTTCTTACCCTTTTAATGCTTTTGTTCAAAAATATGCTCCTGCAAATGTTTCTCCTGACGCACGACTGATGGTGCCTTTGCAACACACAGGAACACACAAAAATCACTGCCAAATGAAGTACTCAAGTACATAAAACATACCTTCATTAAAACTGTCCGGGACGTTGGCGACTAAAAGGCAGAGGAACCAAGCTCCATTCTTCATGTGGAGCAAAGCTTCAGCCACGTCAATGATAGGCAACAGCGAAGGAAGTTCTGAACACACAGAGTTCAAAGTTTGTTTATTCGTCTCAGAAGCATCACAATTAGAACAAGGCTTACTCTTCAGCGTAACGTTTAAAATATAAAACACAAGATTAAACTATGTACAAGCCAAAACAGATTCTTGCTCAGAAACTAGCAGCAGTCAACAAGTTTGAAATGAAGCCACTGAACAGTAGGCTAGGGATAAATGCTTTTACATTATGGCAAATATAGCAATAGCACTTAGACTTACATACCGCTTCACAGGGCCTTTCCAGCCCTCTCTAAGCAGTTTTACAGAGTCAGCCTCTGTTGCCCCCAACAATCTGGCTCCTCATTTTACCCACCTCAGAAGGAGGGAAGGCTGAGTCAACTTTGAGCCTGGTGGGAGTCAAATGGCCAAATTGGAAAAGGAGAGAAACGCACACCTGCTTGCAAAATGCAGAGGACATCTGCCGCCTCTTCCAAATAAACTGGGCTCTCAAACAGCTCTGGGGATTTGAAAAAAAATTCACCAGTGGAGTCGGCCACCTGTTTGGAGAGAAGGACTTTGTTTTGAAAATGAAAAGCAAAGCAAGCTGATAGGGAGGGAGCAAGGGAGCAAGGGAGCAAGGGAGGGAGGGAGGGAGGGAGGAAGGAAGGAAGGAAGGAAGGAAGGAAGGAAAGAAAGAAAGAAAGAAAGAAAGAAAGAAAGAAAGAAAGAAAGAAAGAAAGAAAGAAAGAAAGAAAGAGAAGAAAGGAAGGACGGGTTGAGGGAGGAAAGGGCAAAGGAGGGAGGGAGGGAGGAGAGAAAAGAGGAAGGAAAGAGAAGAAAAAGAGGAAGGAGAGAAAAGAGATGAAGGAAAGAAAGGGAGGGAGGAAAGAGAGAAAAGAAGAAGGGAAGAGAAGAAAGAAAAAAGAAAAGAGGGAAGAAAAAGAGGAAGGGAGGAGAGAAAAGAGATGAAGGAAAGAAAGAGACGGAGGGAGGGAGGAAGGAGAGAAAAGAGGAAGGAAAGAAGAAAGAAAAAGAAAAAAAAGAAAAAGAGGGAGGAGAAAAAAGAGACGAAGGAAAGAAAGAGAGGGAGGGACGGAGGGAGGAAGAAAAACACAGCTTTAAACATCCCCAAAAGAGAGGTGATCTTGTCAGGTCAAATTCACCTTATTCATAATTGCCAGCAGCTCACTCAGCACAAGACGGAGCCGCCGGGGGGAATCGCTGTGTTCAAACTCCAGAGTCAGGCCGTGCTGCAGCTGGGACACCAAAATGCTCTCTCCGCTGCCTCCACCTAGCTTATGTCTAAGAAGAGAAGAACAGAAAAGCTGCCTTTTCCAATTTGCTATAAAGCACGTTTTATTTTAAGCTGCCGTGAGGAAAGCAAAACGGTGGAGCGTTACCTCAGCTGCTGCTCTTTGTTCGCATCCTGTTCCAGAGCATGAAAATCCACAGAGAGCAAAGCGACAATGGAGTTTACGGCTTCGACCCCCGAAAGCAGGCGGAGGATGAGCTTCTTGTCCTGGGCCCAACTCTGGCTCTGGTCAGCTGGGGCGCACAAGGCCATTCTCACCAAGCAAGGCAGCAACAATCGGAGCTCCGGGTCACTCAACGCCGCTAAACGCACCACATCCACCTTCTGCATGGCTTCGAAGGCGTAAGGGCTGACAAACTGAAGAGCTGAACATTCTGCCATTTTGCCAGGGGCTCCTGAAAACCACAACAAAGAAAGAGCTTGGAAAATAAAACAGTCCCACTCACACACACACAAACACAGGCAGGACACATTTCCATCAAGGAGAATATTTGTAGCTCAAGGTTGAAATGAGAAGGTCCTTGGATAGGTGGGCATGGCCAAGTGGCTTCCATCTAGGCTGGAAAAACTGCTTTGGAAACTTAGCAGTGAGTCTTGTGTGGCTTCCAATTTCTTTAATTTCCTATCCGCAAACCAAAGGTGTGGATATAGCAAACTACTGAGGTTTACCAAATTCTGCCTTCCTGGATAATCAATACATACAACTCAATGCCAAAAAAAATCCACTGTTATATGTTACATGTTATTAAACAGGAAACTAAGCGTAATTTTCAATTTTAAATATGTATCTGCTTAAAGAATTTTTCTTTCGGTCATATAGAGATCTATTTCTCATACTCAAACCAAATTGCTTTTTAAGAGTTTGGGGCAATATCGTTTTTTTTTTTTTTTTGAGCAGCCAATTGTATTAACAGTACCTTGCAATATGACACGAGTCTGCATATTTATCAAGTCATTCCAGTAGGAAAAAAAAAACTTTATAAATGATCAGAAACACTGGCTAATTATCAGTTTTATCCTTCTTGCCTTGATCCCTGCAACTTTTGCTAACTGTCCGCTGTTAGACTGATGCACCGCATACCATGTACGCAGAAAGAGCAATATCAGTGATCGCATACAAAAATAAAAGCATTTCCCACTTATTCTCAAACCAGACAATATTCTTTCTTTCCTCATGATGTCAAGGGGACAGTTAGTGTGGGAGACAGTACAATGAAGCCACTGGATCTCCCACTCTCTTAAGATTAACCTAATGTACAGGATTATTGTGAACTTCAATGGGAGAAGGGAGAAGCTGAGAGACTGTTTTAAGTTTATCAGAAAAGCATTACAGAATAACAGAATTAGAGAGTTGGAAGAGACCTTGGAGGTCTTCTAGTCCAGCCCCCGAATCAGGCAGGAAACCCTATAGCATTGAGAACAAATGGCTGTCCAATCTCTTCTTAAAAACTTCCAGTGTTGGAGCATTCACAACTTCTGGAGGCAAGTTGTTCCACTGGTTAATTGTTCTGTCAGGAAATTTCTCCTTAGTTCTAAGTTGCTTCTCTCCTTGATTAGTTTCCATCTGTTGCTTCTTGTTCTGCCTTCAGGTGCTTTTTTGAAGAATAGCTTGACTCCCTGTTGTTTATGGCAGCCCCTCAAATACAGGTAGTCCTCGACTTACAACACCTCATTCAGTGACCATTCAAAGTTACAATGGCACTGAAAAAAGTGACTTTTATGACCGTTCTTCACACGATGATCGTTGCAGCACCCCCATGGTCACCACCTCATCGTAGTGCAGACGCTTGGTGACTGGCTCCTATTTATGATGGTCACCGTGTCCTGGGGTCACTTGATCCCCTTTCATGACCTTCCAACAAGTAAAAACAACAGGGAAGTCAGATTCACTTAACAACAGCCATTCACTTAACTAGTGGGGCAAGAAAGGTCATTAAGTGGGAGAACACACCCTTAGCAAAGGTCTCTCTTGGCAACTGAAAATTGGGGTTCAGTTGTGGTTGTTAAGTTGAAGACTACCTGTGTTGCAGTACTGCTATCATGTCTCTCTCCTAGTCCTTCTTTTCATCAAACTAGACATCCCCAATTCCAGCAACCATTCTTCATATGATTTAGCCTCCATTCTTCATATGTTTTAGTCCCCTCATCATCTTGGTTGCTCTCCTCCGCACTCTTTCAAGAGTCTCGACATCTTTTTTCAAAAATCAGAACAGCAGACTGCAGAAAAAACCATTACTACCAACCTGCCTTCCATTGAGGACCTGAATACAGCAGGATTCAAAAAGGGGGCTGTGAAAATACAGTATTTACAGACAGACCCCTCACATCCTGGACACAAAATGTTTCAACTCCTTCCCTCAAAACGATACTATAGAGCACTGCACACTAGAACACCTAGACACAAGGACAGTTTTTTCCCCGAACGCCATCACTCTGCTAAACAAATAATTCCCTCAACAATGTTCAACTATTACAAAGTCTGCACTACTATTACTATTAATCTTCTCGTCCCTCCTTATCACCCATCCCCTCCCACTTGTGACTGTATGACTATAACTTTGTCACCTGTATCCTTACTATTTATATTGACTGTATGATTTGATTGCTTATTGTACCCTATGACTATCATTAAGTGTTGTACCTGATGATTCTTGACTCTTGACGGATGTCTCTTTTCTTTTATGTGCACTGAGAGCATTTGCACCAAGACAAATTCCTTGTGTGTCCAATCACACTTGGCCAATAAAATAATTCATTCATTCATTCAGATATAAAGCAAAATCCATCCTCAACCAGGGAAGGTGCCTCAAGGACTTGGGGCCAGTCCCTCCCACTCCCTCTTTCTCTCTCAGCCCGACCTACCTCACAGGGTTGTTGTGCGGGGAAATGAGCAGGAGGGAATGCTATGAAAACCCCCTTGAACACTTGAAGGAAGAGAAAGCGGGATATAATATAAACTTAAAGGATAGACGCGGGGGAAAAGCAAGAAAAGGGGAGCCAGTGCCGCCTTCACAGGGGAAGCTCCCCTTCCCCGCCCGCCATAAGAACAGGGACTCTTTCGCGGCTTCGCATCTCCATTCCCTAACAAAGCGAAACCGCCTCGGAAGCACTACTTCCGGGTTAAAACATTTCTACTTCCGGTTTAAAACTTCTTACGCCAAAGGGGAGGCAACGGCTCCAAAAGGCAAGGAAAATGTCACTTCCGGCGAGGGGGGGGGGGAAGAGCACGTAGCCCCACCCCCGTAAGGGCGGAAGTCGCTCCTTTACTGGCTTCACTTCCGCCCTCAAATCGATTCCGGCTTGAGAATGGTGAATGGTGGAAGCCTAGGGAAGTCTTGTTTGTTGTTGCACATACTTTCATTCACATGTGTGCTGCGTGTGCGACATCGCGTATGTTTCGTTGAGTTGTTTTATGTGCTTTTGTTCTCCCTTTTATTACTGCTCTGAGCCAGCCAGATTTATATTAGGGAAGATAGGCGGTATACAAATGAACTGGGCCTGGCTAGTCTAGGGAAGAGAAGGACCAGGGGAGACAGGATAGCAGACTTCCAATATTTGAGGGGGCTGCCACAGAGAGGAGGAAGGGGTCAAGCTATTTTCTGAAGGCCGGACAAGGAATAATGGATGGAAACCGAACAAGAAGAGATTCAACCTGGAAATAAGGAGAAATTTTCTGACAGAACAATCCACCCATGGAACAGAAGTTGCCTTCGGAAGTTGCGGGAGCTTCATCACTGGAGGCTTTCAAGAGGAGACTGGACTGCCAATTGTCAGAAATGGTGTAGGGTCTCCTGCTTTGGGTTGGGGGTTGGACTAGATGACCTACAAGACCCCTTCCAACTGTTAATGTAATCTAATCAAATGTTTTAAATCAGGGGTATCCATTTGTATCTTCTGTGGACTTCAACTCCCAGAATTCCCCCAGCCAGTTTTAAAGTTGCCAAAGTTGGATATATCTGATTTAAATAAATGGATTTTTAAAAACAAGTAGTTTCTGGGGCTACTTATATTTCTAACCTAAATATCCGGAAGGCTTTATGGATTGCCAGAAATCGGTGGAAACCCTCCAAACATTGGTGGGTTTTGGGTTGCTGTGAAACTCAACAAGATGAAATCTTTAATACCTGGAGTGTCAGTTATATGGAGGGAGGGGATGGGAATTGATGGAAGATGTTTATATTATATTTCAAATATTTCAAACTTAAAGCGCAAATGGTTCCTGTAGTCTGCAATTTTTCTGGGAATCTTCATACTCCCACACCGTTGGGATGAAAACCCTTTGAAATGGTGCAGGAGCATGAATGGATTTCCAGAAAAATTGCAGACTACAAGAACCATTTGTGTTTCAGTTTGAGATGCAGACAACACAGACATATCCCCACAGCCTGTGCCTGTCTTCAACAGGGAAGGGACACAGGGCAGAAAAACAGCCAAGTCGGCTCCACACCCATTTGCATCACTCAGGTGACCCTGAAAACACAGATAAACCTCCAAGTGGCCTCAACGACTCTAAACAGATGCAAATGACCAGCTGTCTGCAAGCAGTATAAATCCTTCCATTCTCCACCATCCAGTAGAGCTGAAGAAGCTTCTTGGATGAGAAGCAAAATGTCTTCAAAAGAATAAAACAAGGAAGTCCAGTTGCCTCCTTAAAAAAGTACCTTTGGATGCCGGATGACCAAGATTTGGATGACTGAGAATCTCTAGACTTTTAGCTATACAATTTGGGATGAACACCCTCTGAATGGTGCAAGAGTATGAACGATTTCCAGAAAAATTGCAGATTACAGGAACCAGGAACAGTACTCGGGTGATCCTGAGGACATAGATTAACTCTCAGGTGGCCTCAATGACTCTCTAAAAAGGATGCAAGTGACCACCTGTCTGCAAGGAGTATAAATCCTTCCATACCCACCATCCAGTCAGAGCTGAAGAAGTTTCTTGGATGAGAAGTGAGAAGTCTTCCAAAGAAAAAAAATCAAAGTCCAGTTGCCTCCTGAAAAAGCACCTTTGGGAGAATAGTACTAAGTGAGGTTCACAGGCAGGAAAATTAGTCAATAGGAGGGTTCTGAAGCGGTGCAGACTTGATTAATAGCTGGAAAGGATACTGAGGGATACCAAGCAGGAAAATGTCCCAAGAGGTGACGATGCAGATCCTCAACTTATGATTACGATTGGGACCACTGCTAAGCCAGGCAGTTGTTAAATGAATCACACCTGATTTTACAACCTTTTTGCCATTTTAAGGTCGGACGTTATCATTCCCAAAATCAAGACATGAAAATCAAGGAAGACTTCATGAATAATTTATTCCATTTGAATTTAATTCTTAAAAAGTATAGAAACCTGTTTCCATTCCCTGAATCACAATTTGTACAAGTTGGCATTCTGTAACAACACTTTATTCCTAATTTCTTTTTTCTTTTTAGTTTTTCATCCCATTTAACTGCAATGTTCAGTGAAGAAAGTGACTTGAAGCATTAAATACTGGAGGGGAAAAAAAGCATTAAATGATACTGAAAAAGAATTATCCACTCATCCAGTTAAAATGATTCAGCTTTTGTTTAAAAAAAAAAACAGCTGTGAAACTAACATTTCCAGGAACTTTGCTTCTTTTAATGCCAAGTTCTCAGATCTGGTTTATTTGGAAAACCTATGAGTTATTAACATTTTCTTGAACATTTCAGCCCAAGGAATTTATTTTCTTCCACTGAAATGTTACTGGCATAGCAACAAGTGCAAACTAATATTTTCTGCAAGTTTTTTAGGGATTTCAGTTCATTGGACACAGATGCTATTTTTAAAATCAGTATCAACCAAGGAAAAATTTCCGGACAGAATAATTAACCAGTGGAATAACTTGTGTCCAAAAGTTGTGCGTGCTTCAACATTGGAAGTTTTCAAGAAGAGATTGGACAACCGTTTGTCTTGAATGGTATAGGGCTTTCTACCTGAGCAGGGGGCTGGACTAGAAGACCTCCAAGGTCCCTTCCAACCCTGTTACTCTCTTATGTGAGTTGAATTTCACTTGGGGGCACATTTTTTATTGTTCTTCTCTCAAATTACGCTCTCTGATCTGGTGTTTCTAGGAGGAGGTTGGGGTGGAAAAACCCATTCTGCTAGTACGTAAAAGGGCAGACACTATGTATAAAATTCAATCACTGGACAATCTTGAGAAATCAAGTCCAAAATCGTCTCTAGCAGAATGTCGTTGGTTGAGGAACCTTGCCAAATAGGAATAGAATAATTAATAATATGCAAATATTAATAGAATAATAGGCAATGCCACAGAACTGCTGTGCTGGAACAGAAAATATTAATAGAATTAATATTAATAGAATAATAGGCAATGCCATAGGATTGCTGTACTGGAACAGAAAACTGTCAGGTGCAACTTTTGAACAAGTTTATACTGTAGTTGAACATGTTTAAATACAGGTAGTCCTCAACTTAGAGCCATTCATTTAGTGACCATTCAAAGTTACGGCACTGATAAAAGGTGACTTATGTCCATTTTTCACTTACAACTGTTGAAAGCATCCAAGTAGTCACATGATCAAAACACTTAAAACCCTTGGCAATTGAATGTATTTATGACTGTTGCAGTTTCCTGAGGCCATGTGTCATATAAATAATCCAAAGCAACAAACATGCCTTAATATTCCTTCCTCTTCCTCTCCCCCCCCCCACATACACACAGGTTGAACTGAGAGGGGGGGGCTGGCCCAAAGTCACCCAACTGGCTTCTGTGCCTAGGGTGGGACTAGAACTCACTGTCTCCTGGTCATTGACCCAAAGTCACCCAGCTGGCTTTCATGTCTGAAGTAGGACTAGAATTCACCATCTCCTAGTGATTGATCCAGAGTCACCCAGTCCAGTTATAATCTACCAGGTGCCTTAACCACTAACTAGAGCAACAAGGGAGGGAGGGAGGGAGAAAGATGGAGAGGGAGGGAGGGAGGAAAGAAGGAAGGAAGATGGATAGAGGGAAGGAAAAGGGTGGGAGGGGGGACAGGAAGGAAGGAAGGAAGGAAGGAAGGAAGGAAGGAAGGAAGGAAGGAAGGAAGGGTTTATTGATAGAGTTAGAGGCAGCAGTGAACAGTTTTGTGGTTTTTCACATCCTTTTGTGTTTTCATTATACCAAGATACAACTGTTTAGTTAAAAAAGGAAAGGCCATATACAGATAAGCTTAAGAGTTTCCACTACAATGTGCAAACAACAAAGATTAAATCAAAGCATTGAGAGAGGTAGGGTTTTTTTTTAAAAAAAGAAGACTGAACTTGCATTAAATGGAATCCGATTCTGAAAGAATCTAGTGAAAATCTATTTAAATTAATAACTGCAGTCTTCAGAAATAAAAATCAACTAGTTTTCTTACAGCTGCAATTGATTTTAGCATTTTTAAAATGGCTTGAGCTAAACTAACGTTTCAGCCTGAAAGAGAAAGGATTGTGATAGAAGCAATTTCCCCATAATTCTGACCCCCAAGAAGTTTGATTAGTGACAAACACAAATGCTTGAAAATGAAAGTGACACAGTTTATTGAGGGCAAGGATTTCTTTGTTTTAGAAAAAAAGTGTCGCAATTTCATCAGATGACACAGATTCTGTCTTGGCTAAAATGCACACAGTGAGAAACATCAGAGGCCCTTGTAGTTAAAGCACATCCACCTTCCTTCAAGAAAAAGGGAAGGGAATCTGCCAAAGTTAGTCTCGGCCCTCAACAGAAATACCAATAAAATAAAATAAAATAAAATAAAACAATTTATTATTATTTTCTTCTTTAAATTCTCACTACAAGTTAAACCACCTAACAATATCACTTTTTTTTTAATATATTGCCATTATGTTAACTCTGCAAATGTGTGATATAAAATTGCTGTAAGACCTGGTACCTTTATTTTTTCTTCAATTTTATATAAACACAGTGAACTTCATTACTGTACACGTATAATCTGCAACTACAGCTTAGCTGTAAATCTCCCACACACAAAGGTATGGACATTTCTATCCCTCCCCACTTCCTATATTCCCCCATTAAACTGTACATCAAGACCAAATACAAATTTTTGCTGTCCCCAACCCTACCCACCC